GTTTGTTTGTTTGTTTGTTTGTATCCAATAAACGTCAAAACGGCTGAACCGATCAAGCCCAAATTTTTGGGACCTCACGTGATGGCAGAAAAGGTTTATTAATGATCGAATTTTCAAAACATTGTTTCTAACACAATTCATTTTTTATAAAATTTTTTAAACTACAATGTTTGCAAAGAGAAAAGATTAACAATTGAAATAGGAGATGGGCAGTGGGCACGAAGCGCCCTAAAAGCCTAGTATTTTATATTTAATACCAGGCTATTAGGGTGCTTCGTGCCCATTTTCTATTTCAACTTTTAATCATGGATTTATCTGTAAGCATCTTCTCTTTGAACAGTATAAAACAAAAACAGTTTGCAAATTTCATAATATTTTTTCACGCAATTTCAAAATTTTACAAAAAAAAAACTTTTAAACAAAAATTTTTGAGATGTTGATCATTCATAAACCTTCCTTAGGGTCACGTGAGGTCCCACAAAAAATTTGGGCCCAATCATTTCAGCCGTTTTGACGTTTATTGGATACAAGCAAACAAACAAACAGACACCCAGACAAGTAAAGTTTATATATAGAAAGGATGTAGAAAGGAAGGATATAGTAAAGTTTATATATAGAAGAAAATTCATAAACAAATTTTTAGAATCTCAATTTCGTTTAACTTAATATTTGTGTGTTTCAAACAAACATCTGAACAATACAAAAGTCTTATATAAAAATCCAGTAATATGAATGAATATAGTATAAATAGCTTATATGTAAGTGTTTTTTAAAATATACCATAAGGATTTTATATATGAGCATACCCAAAGAAAAAAATATATAACTTTTGAAAGAAAAAAAACGTCCGATAGGTGTAATATTTTAAATATACGTATAAATAAAAAAGATACCTCAATGATAAACATTATTTTGTCCATTTATTACATATTAGATAAGATAAGTATTTATTTGGCAACATTAATGATAAAAGGGAAAAGGTTGGAAGGTTTATATATCCTACATCCTACCAATCATAGACTAGGGATATTCAAAACATGTTTATATATCCTACATCCTACCAATCATAGACTAGGGATATTCAAATCATGTTTATATATCCTACATCCTACCAATCATAGACTAGGGATATTCAGAACATGTTTAGACATCCTACATCCTACCAAGTATATTACAAAACATGTTTAGTTATCCTACATCCTACCAATCATAGACTAGGGATTTTCAAACATGTTTAGATATCCTACATCCTACCAAGGATATTCAAAACATGTTTAGTTATCCTACATCCTACCAATCATAGACTAGGGATATTCAAAACATGTTTATATATCCTACATCCACCCTATCATAGACTAGGGATATTCAAAACATTTTTATATATCCTACCAATCATAGACTAGGGATATTCAAAACATGTTTTTATATTCTACATCCTACCAATCATAGACTAGGGATATTCAAAACATGTTTATATATTCTAAATCCTACCAATCATAGACTAGGGATATTCAAAACATGTTTATATATCCTACATTCTACCAATCATAGACTAGGAATATTCAAAACATGTTTATATATCCTACATCCTACCAATCATAGACTATGGATATTCAAAACATGTTTATATATCCTACATCCTACCAATCATAGACTAGGAATATTCAAAACATGTTTATATATCCTACATTCTACCAATCATAGACTAAGGATATTCAAAACATGTTATATATCCTACATTCTACCAATCATAGACTAGGGATATTCAAAACATGTTTATATATCCTACATCCTACCAATCATAGACTAGGGATATTCAAAACATTTTTATATATCCTATATCCTAAAATCATAGACTAGGGATATTCAAAACATGTTTATAAATCCTACATCCTACCAATCATAGACAAGGGATATTCAAAACATTTTTAAATATCCTACCAATCATAGACTAGGGATATTCAAAACATTTTTATATATCCTATATCCTACCAATCATAGACTAGGGATATTCAAAACATGTTTTTATATTCTACATCCTACCAATCATAGACTAGGGATATTCAAAACATGTTTATATATCCTACTTCTACCAATCATAGACTAGGGATATTCAAATCATGTTTATATATCCTACATTCTACCAATCATAGACTAAGGATATTCAAAACATGTTTATATATCCTACATCCACCCTATCATAGACTAGGGATATTCAAAACATTTTTATATATCCTACCAATCATAGACTAGGGATATTCAAAACATGTTTTTATATTCTACATCCTACCAATCATAGACTAGGGATATTCAAAACATGTTTAATATTCTAAATCCTACCAATCATAGACTAGGGATATTCAAAACATGTTTACATCCTACCAATCATAGACTAGGGATATTCAAAACATGTTTATATATTCTAAATCCTACCAATCATAGACTAGGGATATTCAAAACATGTTTATATCCTACATTCTACTAATCATAGACTAGGGATATTCAAATCATGTTTATATATCCTACATCCTACCAATCATAGACTAGGGATATTCAAAACATGTTTATATCCTACATTTTACTAATTATAGACTAGGGATATTCAAATCATATTTATATCCTACATCCTAACAATACGAATCAGTCAAACCCTTTTTTTCTAATTGTAAAGAAATATATATTACTATTAGTTTTGAAGAAAAAAATAATAATTGACAAACTTTCAAAACGTGCTTTTCTGTATTACAAAAATTGTTGCAAAGGTAAATATTATAATGAATGAAATTGATATAATTTAAAACATTGAAAACCAGGATTCTCAAGAAAATAGATAAAGAAAAATGCAGGAATTGTAAATTGGCTAAAAGGTTTCCGGGATTTTTACCTGAATTGAATTTTTGTGTGATTTTAGAAATGAAAGTTAGGTTAATCACGTGATTTCCATGTAACTGTCTTTAAGCCGTCAATATATGGATTTAAGGTAGATTTAGATCCTCAGTTCTCATCAGTTCTCCAGTACCTCTCATCAGTTCTCCGGTACCTCCCATCAGTTCTCCAGTACCTCTTACAGTTTTCCAGTGCCTCTCATCAGTTTTCCGGTAACTCTCATCAGTTCTCCGGTACCTCTCATCAGTTCACCTGTACCTCTCATCAGTTCTCTTGTCCTCTCAACACTTCTCTTGTACCTCTCATCAGTTTTCCAGTACCTCTCATCAGTTCTCCTGAACCTCTCATCATTTTTCCAGTACCTCTCATCAGTTCTTCAGTACCTCTCATCAGTTCTCCAGTAACTCTAATCAGTTCTCCAGTACCTCTCATCAGTTCTCCAGTACATCTCATCAGTTCTCATGTACCTCTCATAAGTACCTCTGTACCTCTCTCCCATACGCTTCATCAGTTCTACGATACCTCTCCAGTGAATAATATTGATTTGAAATCTATATAAATATCTTTATGGATCTCACTATAGATTTATGAATTTCACTACAGAACACCAATTTATATCCACAACATAAAACTTTTGAATGGGAAAGCGCTTATTAACATTGGCTGTTCTAGTTACAACGTAAACTTTTAAATTGAAGTGTTAAAGTCTAAGTTCTAACCCGGGTGAATCTACTAGAAGATTATTAAGAAAAGAGTCAACTATGTTCGAGGACTTAAATTAATCCCCCAAGGGGGGAGTGAAACTAAGCACATTATGATCAGATTTAAATTTAAAAGTTTTGACCTTAGATCATTGTAGATAATAATGTTTGGATATCTGATCAGGAGAAGAAAGCGTTTATCAGCTCATATCGAAGAGGAAGAAAAGAAACGAATAGGTAGGAACTATAAAACAAATACAGTTGTCCATCTTATTGTTCAAGGAATCCAAATATACAAGAGTAATAAATGATTACTTATCGTCTTTTACGTTATGAAAATTAACGTAAAATAAGTAGTATTAGTGCGCTTCGCCTCGCTTCGACCTTTTCTTAAATGTTGCTTTTCAAATGGCAATTTTTTCTTCGTAATTGTAAAACTCAATTTTTTGCGGATTTTTCTGTTAAAATTGGTACATTTATTCTCTGGGTCAAGATGCTTCAAAAAAAATGTGGCCCGATCAGACCAGCCATTTTGATATTTATTGGACATGCAGACAAACAGAAAAAAACGGTCAAATAAAGGGAAATGGGCAAATTTCCCCTTAAATGCCGCAAATTTTCAATGAGGGGCCACGCCTTCATTTTTGAAGCTATTTTCTTAAGATTTTGCATGAAGGTCAGATTAATGATTAACTCTTGGAATGCATTTTCAAAATGTAAAAAAAAAAAAAAAACATTTTCCCGTATTTTTCCCGTTTTTTTTGAAAAAATATAGGATTTCCTGATCCTAGGTACAAATTGGGCCTGATTTTTTTAGTGAAGTAGTTTATGTTATTTTTTCCTTTTTTTGTTAACTGCCCTTTTCTCTTTGAAAATATGAGGTTCTATCTTTATTTTTGAATTTTTTTCTGTTCAAACTTTAGATTCAGATCATAATTGTGATTAACTTGCTGGACTGAAAATAAAAATGCGCCAAGAAAAATGTTACCGGATTTTTTTTTCATTGATTTTATTGAACATTTGTGTCATTTGAAGGGAAATGTGCCCATCCCCTTTTATATTTTTAAATTTATATTCTTCTTAAAAATACAATGTGTGTATAGAAAACTAAAGTGAATTATGAGAAAGAAAACTTTAAATTAAAGTTTAACTTGTTGGTTTCTCATGGAACCAGCAATACCCCCAAAATATATCTCTCTGCAGCTACTCAAGTATACAAAACTCGTTCTGCTCACTACAACCAGTCTTAAACTCTCCAACCAGGTAAAATGAGCTATTTTTGTAAATACAGGGGAAATTAGTCCAAAAACTTGATTTGGCTTAAAGGCCAGAAACCCGTTTTGGGACTTATGTCCCCTGAAATAGTACACATCAAGGTTAAACTACAACGAGAGCAAGGATTGTTTACAGGCTAAAGTTAACCATGCACTACATGTAAAAATTTAGTTCGTTATAAACGGGACTTGAAGCGTAATTTCAAGGGACCCTTCATTTCAAGGGACCCTTCATTTCAAGGGACTCTCGATCCATGCAAAGACGTCAATGCCCTATCCACAAAGTAACCTTTAAAACCATTATCTGTTCAATAATGTGAAAGATATTTTCGTTTTCTAGGTTTACAGTGCTTTTTTATGATGATTTTTATGATATATATTTTCTTGCAATAGAAATGCGCAAGTAGTAGAGAAGTAGCATTTAAAAATTATTAGTTTTTAAAATTATAAACATTTATATCTAATTTATACATGATCAGACAACGCTTTTAAGGGTACCGTTGTGAATCCGGCATTGACATTTTTCATGGAGTGTCACTCGAAATTACGCTTACACACTACACAGTGCCTTTAAACTTACTCTTTGTGATTTCAACCTTTACTAGTATAGAATTGATAATTAAAGTCAATTAAAAAATTAATTTTCCCTTCTCTTCTTTTCCCTTTTTTTGTACATTTCCGTGGATCGAAATTAAAAAATTACCATCAATTTAAGATTTGAAACAAAAGTTCCGAATCTAAGCCGTGCTTGATGATTAATGTTCAAAAAAATTTGGTTTAGATTTTTAACCTTGGAGTTTTTCCATCGGTAAACTAGAATTTTTTTTAAAAGTTGTCTTGTTTTAAAATTGAATATCTATCTCATTCATATATCGATAAATTTTGCTAAACTTGAAAATGCAAAAAATCATGCAAAATCTGATTTAATCTTAAAGCCTGGGAAGATTTGTGATTAATTTGATATTTGGAAATTCTTACAAAATTCACAGATTTTTAAGTTAAGAAAAACAGAATTACCCACAAAGGATTTAATGACGACCTGAATATTCCGTACAATCGTCTGAAGTCTCATTCTTTGTGGGTAACCATGTTAGCATAAAAGGTCTGACATTAAAATATTTAGAAATAAATAATAGATTACTATTTTCTATTTGTGGCCTGCTATTTAGGATACATTTAAATGCAATAAATACGTACAGTAATATTAATCTTTTATACAGTTTAATGTACGTTGTTTATTTTCTTCATCTTTATTGTACAGGGTTACCCACAAAGGATGAATCTTTAGAGACGAATAAATGTTTATTTTCTTTCATTATCTCACACTTTAAAACAGTTAAAGGGACTGTAAAGGAAAAATGAAAGGGGGTATAGGATGAACCCTGAGAATCTCAGGCGTTAAACGATACATATAAAACATCTACCTGATGCTCCTGTCTCGAGAAATTGATGTAAAACTGTGTCAAATTTAAACGAAAATTTATATATATGCAATTTTGTATAAAAGTTGTAGTATTAAACAGATCATATTCAACAAATAAGCAACCAATCTGAAAACGACGATATCCCACAGGAGCCTGAGAATCTCAGGTTTGCTCATATTATGATTTTTTAGTTTTTATTTTGCATTTTTAATAGATATAATCGATAATATAATTTCATATGATCCGTATAGTCCGTATTACGTCACCAGAACTTCAGCCAATGGCAGTACAGTATCGTTGCCACGTGACACAAGACCAACGAGAGGGTTTGTACTTGGATTGATATGGGTCAAGGAGACTGTACTGTCTCTGAATCCTATTAAGTCTCATCCTAGCTGTAGATAATCCTAAATGTTAATTGTTTATTTTTCATTAATAAAAAGACTAAAATTCATGTAGAGACGTGGGTAACATACTTTTTGGATAACCCTGTTTAATCGTTTGTTTCATCCTCTCAATATCAAATTATTAACTCTCTAAAGAACATACATGGACATTTTATTGCCAAGACATTTCATCGATAGGACATTTCATTGACAGGACATTTCATAGACTTGAAATTTCACAGACAGAAAAGATTGTTTAGGCAAGGTAAATTATTTACTTTTTTCAAAACTTTTTTATAAACCGTTATTTTTTTCACTATGAAATTTCCTAACTTTGAATTTTTTTTTATCAAATGTTCTATCAATGAAATTTCTGTAAATATTTTATCCCAACATCGATAACTGAGTCAAACCTGAGGCGGTTTAGATTTTTAATGTTAAACCTGTAGGTTATATATTATATAAGGCAAAACACGACATTATAATGAATCAATTCTTTTCAGAGAGTTTTTAGTGGTTACCAAAGTTTCATTTTTATGTTTTTTTTTATATTTTATTTTCAGAGGTTTGAAGAAAGGAACTAGGTCTAGAAGTGAAGAAGGAGGAAGAAGATTAAAAACAAAACTTGAAGACGGAGACAGATTAAAACCTTTACCTAAATCTATATCACAAGAGGTAACAACAAATATTTTTTAAGAATTTTTGATTTTAAATTTTTGATTTTAAAATTTGGAATTCAGTAAAATTCTAATTTTATTATTCTTCTTGTTAACATTTCTTCCGTTATTTCTTTTTCTTCTGTTGACTGTCCCTGGTTCTGATAATTTTGTAAGAAAGAATTTGGTCGAAACTAGTATTTTTAGACAGCCACTAAGGTTGCTTGTATGTTTTAGTGTGGAAAGTAAAAATATAGATAAAACAATATATTTCAAAAATAAATTTGAATTTTCTAGAAGATCGCCGAGGTGGATTCAGAGATAGAAAATTCGCAGATGATATTGTTATCCTCACGCACCCGACATCATAATGATTGTAAAGAACATCTGGTAAACAGATTTGAACGCTTTCCACAAACTTTATTTTTATTTCCTTTCTAATTCGGTCAATTCAAAAAGTTAGAAATATGAAGGTTTTACACCTTTAGTTGCCTAGATACTGGGATTAGAAAATTATAGTATTTGGCAAGTAATGAATTCCTTTATGAACAATATTTATAATAAACAACAAACTTTTAAACATTTAAGTTTGTTGGCTTGTAGTACATGGGCATTAACGTGTCTATATCTTCTGTCAAATTCAAATTTTGAAATATATTTTTAATAAAAATGTTTCAGCACAGTTTACATCTATCTGAACCAAGAATCCCCCCTAAGGAACCTTACAACCCTGAAATTAGAAACAAAAATACCTCCAGGGTTGAATGGAGAAAGGTAAATCAACGTAAATACAGGCGTAATTTAAAAATTAAATTAAAATGTTCTATTCACAACGGTACCACAATTTTGTCTTATTTTGGGTGGTTGAGATATCCTTATTTTTCTAGCTGACAATTGACTATCTTCAGAAACCATGTGACGTCATATGCACGGAGTTTTGGGAAGAATAATTATACCCAAAGAATAATAATGTAAAGATGGTTATTTCAGAGGTGTACGCAATTTAGTACTGCAGTGTACTGTCTCTGGGCGGTAATGTAAACAGACGAATGTCACAGATTGACATGGGATCCATTTTCACCAGATTTTCACATAAAAAATCAATGAAATATTCTGGTCATAGACAATTATTATGTGAATTATCAAAATTATCAAAATTAAATTCTTTTATCCTCCTTGGATACTACAGGGTGTCCCACATCATATTAGACCGTCAAAAGGTCTAAATTGTGTTTATCGGGACTAATAAGAAAATTTAACTAAAATGAATCAATTTGAAATAAGGCTTATATAAGAATTTTCTTGCGGAAAATGATAAGTTTTTCCAGGGTTTATTTTGTCGTTACAGATTGGAGATAATCTAATATGATATGGGACGCTCTGTAGAATAACACTGATGCATCTGTTCTTGTTTACAAACACCGCCTAGAGAGAACTGGTTTCAATATGTACGCAGAGAATACGCAACAGCAATTAACTTTCCTTGCCTTATTATCTTGATGATACCTAGCTTCCCTAGCTTAGTTGTTGGAAAATAAGACAATGCAATGGTTTTAATGGTACCGTTGTTAATCAGATATTATCTTTAAACTTCAGTCACTTCATGCTGTAAATTTTGTAACTATTTTCCATTATTCATGTATGTATATAATGTAAGTTAAATCAATGCAATTGGAAAATTGTTTTGAAATTAAAATAATTTATTTGAATAATCTTTCCATTTTCTTTTTTCAATTTTTCTACGTAACTATGTGAATTAAATCAATGCATTTTTTAAAAATCTGTCTTTAAAAAAGTTGTATTATTATGTATATTATTATATATATATGGATTTTCAGAACCGAATGAAAGCGCGGCAATTTCCTAAACTTGCGCACGCCAGGGAAACCCTTAACACAGTGAGCGTGAAGAAAGTGCGCGGAAAGAATGGAATAATAAGAGAAGAGCATGATCTCCTTGTGTTTGTGGACCCGGTAAATTATTTTCATTTTTAATTTTAAAAACACACAAATATCAAATTGAGAGTTGTTGGGGAAAATCTAAAGGTTTTGTTTTTGTTCTGAAGTTCTTTTTTTCCTTAAAAAAGTGCTTGGCATTTGAGTTTTCCAATAGGTACAATACCTTGACATTTAGGATATATAGACTGTTTTTCAATAATTTCTTGGTTTTTGTAAAATAATATTATTGTAAATAAAAACACATGTTGGAACACAAGAACACTGGCATTTACTAGAAGGAGAGGATATCTGTCAGGGCCATAAACTGTAAATTGTGTAGGAGGGGGGGAACATTTTTTCCATTCCTGGCGGGGGCTGGGGCCTGAAAACTCCCTGATACTTAAAGAAATAAAAAATAATTTCGTGGATTTTCAAATTTTTCAAAAACCGAATTTTGTTAGAGGGAAATCTTTGAAAATTCTATCATCAATAAACATTTCCTGGGGTCACGTGAAACCCAACACAAAATTTGGGCCCGATCGGTTCAGTCGTTTGGACGTTTATTGGATACAAACAAAGAAACAAACAGACAGACATGAAAAGTATATATAGATGAAATGTCCGATCTATTTATGATCTGTTCCAACGCTGTTGTCCAGGATGAATGTTACTTGACCCCCTCAATGATAACAGATCTGAAGGAGGTGTTCATGCTCTTCGACAAGGACGAGGACGGTGTTCTCATCTTCCCTGAGATAGAGACGGTGATGAAACTCTTGGGTTTGAGACCGACAGGTTGGATATTAGTTTTTTTCTAAGTTTTTTTTCGCAAGACTATTTTAGAAACTACTTTATATACGAATTACATCTTAAACTTTGATTCCTAAATGAAAAGAACGCTGAAGAGATTCAAAACCAATGAAAGAGTTTATTAACAATAAACAATACTTTTATCCCATATCACCTGTAAACTCCGGTTCATTACAAGTACAGGGCCGAATTTTAAGCAGCTAAAGCACGCTGAACAGTACACATACACGTCTACATAAGGCAAAACGTGACAGTACACCAAAACAACCATCCCCAATCAAGTGAAATATATGTGATATCTGAGTACCATATCACAGGCAGTCGTAGTACATTTGAATTTCAGAGCCGGGTCAACCTTTCTGGTCCCAGTTTGTACTGTACCGCCCGGACATTGGGTAAATAAAGCAGACACTCAATAGGACTAGCCGGTGCAACAAGGTTGACGCGGTCAGACTTTAGGTTAAATTTACTTTTACTAAAGGTGCGTGATATAGAAGAATTTTACTATTTCCGTTATTGAAATTATACAATGCAATGAACAAATTCCTGAGATAAAGACAAAGATAATATATATATATAGATACGCAGGCAGGTATAAATTTTGAGGTCTTGAGAAAAAGTGCGATCAGCACCATCTCTGTCGTACGCATAGCATTTTATTCTCTGGATTGTTGCTAATTTATCACTTTGTTTATGCGTGATAATACCAAATGCGTACTATAGTATCAACAATGTATACTGCATATTTTACTTAATGAAACAAATTAATCAATGAAAATAAAACTGAGGTAGGAATTTGACTAGACAAAGTTTAAATTTGCAAGTTGTACTGAATTTAGATAAAAATTATGACTAAAAAGTACATCGAGTCTAGGACAAAGTCCTAATAGCGGACAAGATCCGGTCGAACAATACATCCCATTCAACACTACTATGGTCGGTTGCTCCTGGCTCTTCATGGCTCACAACTGGCTCATCACCCCCTTAACCCTAAAAACTCAAAAAAAAACTCCATTACTTTCCTAAAATGATCATCCTAGGTTTGGTGCGCTCAAAAATGAGCCAGCCCCAGTCCATTACCCCCTTTGATAGCCTTAGTTTAATTTATTAAATAATTCAAATTTGCCATGAAATTACCCAAATAAGTAAACTGTCCCTTTAAACCTCTGTTTTTATTGAATACAAACAAACAAACAGACAAACAGACAGACAAGCCAAATTTATATATAGATGAAATGTAACTATATCATATACGTAGTATTACTACAACACATAGTAATACTAATTTTGTTTACAAATTACAAATTAAAGACAACCTCATTAAAACAGCTTATGACTTGAGGATTGTCAACCCGTATGAAAAAGTCCTCCCAAAAAAATGTTGCAATTTTTTTGCCTTGTTTACTAGAATTCATGCATAAAAAACAGTAATTTTAATAAATCTTTAAACCATCAACCCCAAGATCTTAATTGCATATTGTGGTACCAATTAAAAAATCTAATTTTATTTAAATATCTCATAAAAACCGTTTGATTAAATAGATATCACTTATTTAACAAATATAAAATAATTTCCAAAGGTTTGTCAATATTTCTGTTTGTCTACTATATCTTTACTAGGTACAACTGATCATAACATAAACAAAACGCGTACTTTTTGTTTGTGTTACCTTGAAATTTAATTTTATTGGTCAAACAGGTCCAGATAGCAACACTTGAACTATACAGGATGCAATATGCGCACTGTATGTTTATATAACACAAATGCGTATTTCCTACAGATGGCAGCAGGGGGAGAAAGGAATATAGAAAGTAATCAATTTGCTATAGATGTCTCTCCTTGCACTTTATCTCAGAGGGACAAAAATTAGTTGTCTGCTACAGGCAATTTAGGAAGGAGGTTTCTACCTGCCTGCATATCTATATATATATTATCTTTGGATAAAGACAACCCTGTCTGAAACTTAGTCATCAAATTTTGACAGCCTCGACTAAAAAGTGTCGCAACGCCTTGGCCTTTGGTTTTACCTAACAATTTGACTTATACTTTTGTGTAGCCAAGACATATGCATTTTAAAAATGCAACGCGCTTGTTTCTAGCTTAAGCTTAAAACGAGTAATTGGCAAAATACTATTCGATTTTTCTGTGAGAATGACAACAAATCCCACCCCCTGTAACCTCGTAAAATATAAGTTTAATGATTGACTTGGTTCAGATGCTGAGCTGCTGTACTTGGTGAGACAGGAGACAGAGGATAGATCTTACGATACTCTGGAGTTTAATGAGTTCTTAAAGATGCTGGGCAAACATTTCTTAGGTCCAGTCACGAGGGATAAACTCCTCGAAGCATTCAGGTGATCATAATGTTTTTAAATGTAGAATTTACACCCTGCTACAGGACTACATACACCAGAAATTAGTATAACTACGACGACATTTACATCATTACTTAATGTTCTTATTGAAATTAATATATATATTCATTCACCTTCAGAATTATAAGTAATAAGAATAATAATTAACTGTTCTCTTTGTACAAGTAGGCTCTTATGAATATGTATATTTCATTACTTTCATTGTTGCAAATCTGCACTTACAGGGTGTCCCACGAAACATGACAGTGGGTAAATAGTTTTAAATGTCTTCTTCCATAATTTGTTAAGTTGTTTGATACCAAAGAGAATAATAAAAAAATTATATTGCATTCATAAAATAGTAAATTTGATTTTAAAGTATTACATATTTGAGTAAAAGAATTTTTTAACGAAATAAACTGCGAAAAGTCTTTAATATGCAATACAGTATATGGAAGAAGACATTCAAAACTAATCACCAACTGCAGAGCAGAGATTAAAAGTCATCATTGTTATGCAAGTGGTGGTTAGCTTCTCTAGAACTTTTGCAGGGTGGTTATTGTTTTGCAATAAATGCAGACTTCATGGAAACGGCTTAAAACACCTAAACACGGAAATAGCTTTAAAAAGGGTCTGGTAAAACTAATTTCATGTCGTCTTCTCTCAACTCAAAATAAAAAGACTGTATTCCAACGATTTTCACAGCTATTGCAGCGCTCGTCCCCCTAGTCAGTCCCAGCCGCAGCGCTCGGCCCCCTTTGTAGCTTTCGGCGCAACCTTACCAAACTGAATTAATGCTGTATAAATAACCTTTTAAAAATTTTAATTTTTAAAAAACTTGAGAGAAGATGACATTAAATTAAGCCATATTTCAGCCATATTTCCGTGTTGAGCCGTTTACATAACACCTATAACACCTGACTGTATTATAGATCAGACATTCCCTTAATTAAATGCGAATAATTCATTTCGAAGGTTTTTTGACAAAGACGAGGACGGAATGATCCCAATTGATGAGCTGCGCAACATTCTCACCAGGCTGGGAGAAAGAATGCCGCGTAAAGATCTGGAAGAACTCATGGCGCGCGCAGATTCACACGGAGACGGTCTAATCAGATATAAAGGTACACATATTTAAACATCAGAAATTTAATGTAAACTATTACTAAATTATATAATTTAATCAATACAAACTTGCTTTTTCAGATTTTTCTAAAATCATCTGCAAGAAAAGGAAATAGGATTAAGATTTGATTTTTGTCGGCATGTTTTTAAGTAATTTAATATATATCTTTAATTAAAAAGAAGAAGAAAAAACTACTGAGAAATAATCTTGAGTTATAAAAATTGAATGTTCATTTTTCTTCACTTTTATCTCATATTTGAAAATCCCTGAAATAGAATTCTTTACCTATTTTTATTTTTATTTTTTTTTATACATTTTTGTTTAACATTTGACATGTTATAATGCTTTGTCACGTTTAGATGTATACAAAAGAAGTGTAATAAATATCATTTCATAATTAAGATTTTTATTATACAAGTATGATAAATTCGGTCAATTTAAAAACATGTAAAATATTGATGCATTAAATTGAATTAAAACCTTTGAACTACAATCAATTTTTTAACACTTCTTTGATATTTTTATTTAAATAAATCAATTTACCCATCTGTTTTTTTTAACAAAAATATTTGTTGAACTTTATTTTATATTTCTGTAGTTCTACATCCTCTCTTGTGCATATTTAGTATTTCTGTAGTTCTTCATCCTCTCTGCTGCATATTTAATATTTCTGTAGTTCTTCATCTCCTTTGGTGCATATTTGATTTCTCTGTAGTTCTTCATCCTCTCTGGCAAGCATGGGTAAACAGTAATCCGAAATCAATATGTAATATAGATCTGAATCCATAGTAAAATGTGTTATCTATCTCTCAAACAATAATTCTAAGATATAATAAGTTGAAAAAGGATAAAATTTTCCATCTTTACTATTTGTTTCCATGTACAAGGATTAGTGTTGTTTCACTTAACATTTTAAAAATGGTAGCTGCAGGGTTGGGTTCAACAATATAGAAATAAGATTATGCAAAATTCAAAATTAATATATAAAATTGTTTTGTGTAAATGTTTTCATCATAAATTGATTAAATAACTTATTATTCTGTTCCAAAATATCATAAAAATCGTCTGAAAAATTACCAAAAAAACTGGGAAAAATGATCAGTATGATTCTGCATCACCTAATCTTATTAAACCTAACCAAGGTGGGGAAATGGAATTTTCTAGAAATAAAACTTTGTTAAACAAACATAAAATGCATTTTCTATATTTTAATTTGAAAGATTTGGTGATGAAGGTTTGTACTCATAATTTGTTGTGCATTTCTTGTTCTATCTATTAAATTTAGCAATAGAAAAATTAGTATTTGGAATAGATTAGAATTTTAAAATCGATGTATCTGGTCACGTGTCTCCATCTGTATCACGTTACCAGTTACATGCACTGCTTTGGTGGAAGTTCTGGTCACGTGATACAGGCGTATAAATCATATTATCACTTATCCAAGAAGAATTGAATAGGAGGAGGGGGCAATAGGGTTTCCGTAAACTTTGCTGTGACGTTTTTAGACTGCTGAAGAACTAGTTTTTGCGTAACAACAATAATAAAGATTGTAAACAATAACACAAATGATAAACAGACATCTGGCATCTCTGGCGTATTTATAAAGGGGGGGGGGGAGGAAAACCTTGAATTTGATTGAAAATTTCTCTGTAATAAGGTCCTTTTCGTATTTAACTAAATCCTTAACTTTTAATCTTTTTTAACAAGATAATACTACTTTCACAGTTTCTAGGTCATGTTTGTTTACATTAGATCGGCTGCCTTTGTTATTGTTGTTACGCAAAAACTAGTTCGCAGCAGTCCAAAAACGTCACAGCAAAGTGTGCGGAAACCCTATCGCCCCCTCCTTCTATTCAATATCTCCTTCCAATTATCTATGTTATAAAAATAAGACATTCGTTTATATGCTCCCTTTGGCTGGCCAAACGGCTGGGCCGAATGAGCTGAAATTTTTTGTGGACACTCATGGGTGGCCAGGGGGTGTCATAGGCTAAAAATCTTTCTTTTCTCTTCAATTTTTTCCAAAAAAAATTTCCACGGGCAATGCCCGGGCAATTCTGCTTGTATCTATTAAAAATCAAAACATTTTAAATTCAAATTATAAGATAATAGGAGCGTGCCTAAGCTCTTTGGGCTCCTCTGGGTTATCGTAATTTTCAGATTCGTTGCGTATTTGCTTAACAGGATCTGTCCATTAAGTCCATTAAGTTTCGGGGCTCTAGTTTCTTAGAAGTATATATCTATAGTATCTAGTATCTAGTAGTACATTAACTTTACTGGATCCAAATGTATCTAGTATCTAGTATCTAGTAGTATCTAGTATCTAGTATCTAGTATCTAGTATCTAGCATCTAGTATCTAGTATCTAGTATCTAGTATCTAGTATCTAGTATCTAGTATCTAGTAGTACATTAACTATACTGGATCCATTGAAACTATAATGTCAAGGTTAGATGGAAGCATTAAATCAATAAATTCGGTGTATAATTATTATTATGCCCACAGATAACACAGATAGGACAAGATACAAGCATTATCATTTTACTTACAGATAACATAGATAGGATGATAGAAATATATTATCATCATACCTACAGATTACCCAGATTGGACAAGAGACATGAAATATCATTTTCCTACTTATAGATAGGACAATAGACGTGTATTATCATTACACCCAAAGATTACATAGATAGGATAAAAGATGCGTATTATTTTTAAAACCATAGATCACACATTGATATGACAAGCGACGTGTATACTCATTATGCCAAAGGATAACACAGAAGGGACAAGAAACTCACATAATTCATTATAGGACATGAGGCATGTTTTACCTATTTACCCACAGATTACATAGATAGGGTATAAGAAGCACGTTTTTTCATGCCAACGAAAGTTAGTAAATAAATAAATTTGGCATTTTGCGAGAGAACACTATCGACAAATATGTCAAGTTTAAAAATGGTAACATAATAATGCAATTCAAAGGTTATTTTCGTAGCTTTATTTATCAAGATTCACAAGACGAAGAGCACTAATGACCAAGAACTGAACTATATATGCGGCTTCTCTGGGTAGTTAGGTTCGTGGTAACTGAAACTGCGCTGGTGACGTCACAGGCCCCACACCCGAACCGTCTGGTCCCATGATGACGTAGCTATTGCAAATCCAGCCGGAGCAACGGCTATTTGAGTTATTCTAAACATACAATATATAATGAAATAATCAGCATTTTTCTTCCTTTTATAAAGCACTAGTCTGAATTCTTTTGAATCAAATTTAACAACCAATAGAAGCATTGTCTTTAAACCTTTTACCAATCAGAGGCCTCAGAAATAATATTCTCGTCCAATGAGAATGCAGAAATAAGAGTCAGCTGTTTTTTATGGATTAGAAACTTAATCGGATCAAATCAAGATTCGTAGATGTTGTGTTCAGGCCTTGTAAACATATTTTATCAACACCTCAACCTCCCCTATTTTTTACAAATGAATTGAGTCCTTACCACAAACTCAAATTTTCTGTTTTCTAATTATCTTTGCAGCCTAATGGTATATCTTTGATATTTGAAACATAAATTGTTTGATCTAACAGAATTTATAGTTTGAACTGTCCAAGATCTAGGACATCGGGTTTCAAAGATAGAGGGATATGAAAATTTGAGTTATGCCAAAGACTTAATTCTTTTAGTCCACTTTATTTAAGAGAATTAATGCTTAAATCACCTATTGTCATGACCAGAAAGAGAACCACAATGAGCCCCAGCAATGTCCCACATGTGTACTGTAGAATCATCGCTAGACCCGAGCAGTATACGGCCAGACATGGAGCAGCCGACACTAGTGAAGGAAGAGTTAGGAGTTGGAGGCTTGTATTGGCAAACCTCCTGGTCACTTCGGATATCCCATAGACGAACCTTAAACAAATATGTTTTAAAAAGTATCAAAAAGATCCACACTAATCAAAGCTAGCGGGGTTAGTCAAATACAAAAAGTCTAGCTGCGCCATCAAAGTTGAAACCGAATCGGCATGGAAAGGGTCGGGTCGGTACTTCCCGCGCGTCACTAAGGCCAGTGTACAAGGGGTTGGTCCGGTTCGGATTCAAATTGACCCTAGTCCATCGTAGATCTGAATCCTTACCGTTTTATCCTCACTGCATGTTACAAAAGTAAGACTTGAAGGATGAAAGGAAACTGAGTTGACATCAGCTTCGTGTCCCCAGAAGGTCTGAGTACATCCTAGACAAAGATTTTTTATAAGTTAAAAAGGCCATCTAAATAAGTATTTGATCAGATCTCGAAAACTATGTTTTATGTTTTTAATCATAACTCCTCTTATTTAAAAGCTATTGAGAAAAAGAAAAATGTTTTAATATGGAACCGGATTTATTTGCTTGACTCATGCTTGTGCGTAAAACCAACACTAGAGGAAACAAAATCACTTCCATCCATAATTGAAACTTATCGATTAACACTTTAAAATACAGAAAGACTGTGAAATCCAATTTTCAAGTGGAAGATCGCTTGAAATTACGTTGACAGTCCCTTTAAATAGTATTGTAGGATGTTAACACAGAACATGAATTTAACAAATGGAATGTTTGAGAAGATTTACATATCTGGGGGTTTACCTGGAATACGTAGATCCCAAAGTCTAGCAGTTCTATCAACTGATCCAGTCACAAATATATTCTTATCCGAGGGCTTTAAGCTCAGCGCAGCAACATCCCCGTTATGACCGGCCATGTCCACCAGCTTCTTTCCAGTCTCTACCTGGAACTGCATAACCTTCATGTCCCCGGAACCTGGAGAAAACAACAGCCACAGATTAGAACCAAGGAGGAGTCGTCTCGTTCAACCTCTCATATGATTATTACACGTTTTGCTGGAGAATACAAAAGACACAGAATATGGTTATAGGTCGGTCTTTAAATATATAAATTGTTTTTACTTTAAGCAATGCAAATTAGATAGATAAAATTTCTCAGTCATAGGAACAAGCCAGGCACATAAGGGGGGAAATAATTATTTAAATTTCATAAATTTAATGAATTATTGAAATATAGCCAAGGTTATAATCCAAGGAAAGTTATTTTAAAAGTGTACGATTCTATTGTACTGCAGTGTACTGTCTTTGGGCGGTAATGTAAACACAAGACGGATGTCACAGCCTGACATGGGATCCATCTTCCACATAAAAAAAAATCAATAAAATATTCTGGTCTTAGGAAACTATTATGTGAATTATCAAAATTTAATGCTTTTAACCTCCTCGGATACTGAACGAACAATGATGCATCTATTCTTGTTTACAAATTCCGCCCAGATATGTACGCAGAGAATACGCTACAGCAATTAACTTTCCTTGCATTATAACCTTGAATATAGTCAATTGTGGGACAGAATTATAATCCCAGTTTAGTACGAGGAAAGGGTAGGAATAGGGAAGAGACTCCACAAGAATATAAACTGTTTATGATCAATCCAAATTGTATTCTCTGGAAAGGAATTGAGACTCAAATGTTCTAATCCCTGTATATTTGTAACCCAATGGTGTAAACCTTTGATATTTCAAACTTTGATTACTGGATATAACAGAATAGTTTAAAATATTACAGATCTACGATATTGGGTTTCAAAGATTAAGGAATAGAAATATGTTGCCCGTTAAAAAAAAAAAAAAAAAAAAAAAAAAAAACTTACTAAGCAGACAATTTTAAACTATGATTGACATTTTGAATTTTTGTGGAGCCTCTTATAAGTTTGGAAAAGAAAAATTTATGAAAAACTTTGTCCAATGATAAAAAAAGATAAAAATTAGGCTTGGTCATTGGAAGAAGATTTTACCTGTGACAACAGTTTCATCATCAAGAAACCTCGCTGAGGATAAAAATCCCTGAAAAAAATTTAAAATTTAAATAAAAAAACTTATGATTGAAATAAAAATATACTTTTTAAAAATATCTTTTTTGTACTGTTGTTGAAATTTTAGTAATTTGTATGATTTAATTGATTAACAAAATGTTATTTTGAGAGTATGTTAGACAGTAAGACAGTATTTTTTCGCACATTTTCAAAATTTAATAAAAATCAACAAATTTTGACACATATTTTTGTAATTTTGAGCATCCAAAAACCTTCCCTGGGTTCATGTAAAGTTCCAAACAATTAGGCCCAATCGGTTCAGCCGTTTTGACGTTTATTGGATACAAACGGACAGACAAACAGACCGACAAACAAGCAAAGTATATATAAAGAATATAGGAAAATAAGTATTCAAAACATGATTTGAGTTTTTATTGTATCGACATTATGTTTCATGCTAGACATTCTTCAGAGGATACTAATTTGGTGATTTCTTTAAATCTTTTTGGGATATTTTTTGAAATATTTTAGGATATTTTTATAAAAACAAAACTATTGACAAAAATATACAGAAATAATATAAAAAAAATGTAAAAATATATAAAAATATAGATGATTTAACAGAACAGCCTTGTTACCTCATATCCACTAACTTCTCGAACCATCTTGGCCACCCCGCTGCTATCCCTGTTGTTAAGATCGTAGATGGTGAGCATGTTATCCATCCCACCACAAGCAACTAGGTTTCCGCTTTGTGCGAACACCGCGGTCATCACCCAGGCAGATCGGAGTGGAATAACCTAAACTTTAGTTATTTGAAAAGGAACTGAAATTAGATATTCTAATCCCTATAACTTTGCAACCAGAATGTTTAAACTTTTGATTATTTGATCCAACAGAACTCAAAGTTTGAAATATCTAAGATCTACATTGGGTTGCAAAGATAAAGGGAACAAAAAATTATAGTTTGTGTGGCAAAGACTCAATATTCTAATCCCTAAATCCCTTAAGGTGCATAAACCTTTCATATTATAATCTTTGTCAATTTTATCTTTGAAATATATAAAAGGCCTACCAAACCTAAGGTTGCACAGATATAGGGGTTCGGTTATGCTTAACATTTCTTCATTTTGTTTTTTGATGAAAAATATTAAAAGATTTCACCTAGTTGGGCTTCATGTGAGTAAACTTGTAATTATTTTTTGATAAATTTATTTCCACCCAGCTAGTAGAATATTGGGGTTTAATCTTATTTAAGCAATATTATCACTATCATGTCAAAATATCACCAGTCAAACACTTTTCTCAAGTCCAACTAAACAATCTGAAAATTGATGACTTGCGCCAGTTAAAATTCTTTAAGGTTAATCCGGTTTTAATGTACCAAAGATTAGCAAAATAGGTCCGAAATGTGTACAATTTGGGATATTTGATTCGTCATTCATGCATCAAATTTCTTTTCGAAAGAACATTAAGGCTCAATAAAAATTTTAGAATCTATCTTTAAATCCATAAATTTAAAAACCGTCAGGACTGGGTTGACTTGACCTTGACCTTGCTAATTTTTTTATCGCACTGAACATGTTCAGTTTAGAACTGCAAAGGGCTTGTTTTGAATTTAAATGGAGTAATTGGCAAAATCCTTAAATTGTTGGGTTCTCTGTGGAGTCAAATCTAACCTGCATCTTGTTCCCAGTCCAACAATCCCAGACAATCAGTTTTCCATCCAGGGATCCACTCACAGCATGCCTAGATACATAATAATGATAATAATAATAATAATAATAATAATAATAATAATAATAATAATAATAATAATAATAATAATAATAATAATAATAATAATAATAATAATAATAATAATAATAACAATAACAATAACAACAACAATAATAACAAAATAATGATGATAATTACCTACTGTCTCCACTGAAATGGCAGCAGGTAACCTTATTAATATGTCCTTTTAGCAGCTTCTTTGTTACGCACTTGCCAGGCCTGGAGAAAAGAAAATTATGATTTAAAATATTAAAATTAAAATATTTACCATTTTGTTAAAAATCATGAAAAGTAACTGAACATTTGTCGAATATTGTTTCAATATTCTGAAGATTGTTTACTATGTATATTGATGCGATTGTTTATACAATATTTCAAGATTTTTAATTTATAAAAAGAAAAGAAATTACTTAGTCCCTGGATCTCCTAAACCTGCATTATCCCTGAAAAAAACTTTAATTAAATAAAATTTTGAATTTTTTTTTTTTTTGAGAAAAAATTACAAGATTAAACTCTTCTTAAACTGTAATTCTTATATATGATGTCGGAGATCATGTTCAAACTATGAATTCTGGTAGATCTAACAATTAAAGTTTGAAATATAACTTACTTACATAATTATGTCTATCAAGCTAGACTAGAAATTTGATTTTTGTTGTGAGTTAACGTTATTTGCGGTGAGTAATCAGAGTTCTGTTTAAAGGGACTATAAACGTTATTTTGTGGTGAGTAATCAGAGTTCTGTTTAAAGGGACCGTCAACGTTATTTTGTGTTGAATAATCAAAGTTCTGTTTAAAGGGACCGTTAACGTTATTATTTTGTGGTGAAAATCAGAGTTCTGATTAAAGGGACCGTCAACGTTATTTTGTGGTGAGAATCAGAGTTCTGATTAAAGGGACCGTTAACGTTATTTTGTGGTGAGAATCAGAGTGCTGATTAAAGGGACCGTTAACGTTATTTTGTGGTGAGTAATCAAGGTTCTGTTTAAAGGGACTATCAACGTTATTTTAAGTGACTCCTTTAACAGAAAGAAAGACACCTTGTAAAATCTTTTATATTTCTATGATGCATAAGGCCGAGCGTTATTTTTAAAGAGAACCCACAATTATCTTTTTTTACATAGAAAAACAAGAATATCTTCATCATTGTTGATAAGATGAAGGTATAAAAGGTACCGTTGTGAAGCGGACATGTCAATCTGCAAATTACGTCCGAAGTCCCTTTCAGAAAAAAATATGTTTTTCCAACCTTGCTTTCTCCTGGTGCTCCCTGATCTGAGCCGCAATATTGGAGAGTTCAGCTTTTAGTGCAGTAGTCTCATCATCATCCTTAGGCATCTTACCTGAGGGCAAAACTATCTCTAATTATTCTTTTATTTACAAGTTTACAATATGGATATCATAATTCAAGATTGTATTCTCTTTAAAGGAATAGAGTTTTTGCCATCAACCCAAATTTTTTAATCACTAATCTTTGCAATCTAATATAAACCTTTGATATTTAAAACTTGGATTATTTGCTGTAACAGAATGCATAGGATAGTAGTATGAGGGAGGGGTGGCTGCTCTCAGGGTTTTGGAGTGCTCTCAGGGTTTTGGAGTTGCTCCCAGGGTTTTGGAGTAAAAATCGGAAATTTATCAGAAAAGTCGATTAAAAAGGGTACTTTTAAGCCGAAAATTAAAAAAAGGGCTCTGGCACCCCTTTTTTAGTTTCATTGTCTACATTTTTTGTTAAAAGTTTTTTTAGTTACAACCCATTGAATTGGAGAAAACGTCGATATAGTTCGGATATGCTTAAATTTAGTCATTTTTTAGGCTTTTTTACTTAAATTTATAGGTCAAAATGCAGTATTTTTTCTTGTTTTTAATGAAAAAAATGTGATTTATATCTAAACTGACCTATGTGTATTAAAATTTTTTTATTATGGTATAATTTCCTAGTTTTTTAAGAAAAAAATCATTTTTTTCGTCTACGAATAACTTTAATTTATTGGGGGACGAAAATTAAGCATTTTTACGCAACATTAATAATATAAAATTTGTTCTGAAACAAATTTAGAGTCTTATTTATAAAGCGCCCTTTACCAAAACTGATGAGAAATATTAAATTTTTAAGAAAAACTATGTTTTTTCCAGCAATGTTTGATTAACTAAAGGATAATCGTAACCACATGCAAAAGCTAAAATTTAATTTCAATCGAAAGGGAATAACATTATCTTTGAAATGTAATGCGCGCCATACCCATTTTTTTGAATTTTTAATGCATTTATTAGCCTGTAAACTTTTTCATATTGTCGTATTTATACGAGAAATTTCAAGATTTCTAACTGTGTGCGGCATTTTTTTCAAAATTGCGCTATTACAAATCTGGGAAACTTTTAATTAAAACCAAACTTTGAAATACACATCGATTTCAGTGAAAAGACACGGCAACATTCGCTTTTAAGGTCAATGTCTTCAGCGAAAAGTCCAGAAATCGTTCTCTAGGACGGACCCGTACTTCCTCTGTCTCCTCTGTCTGGCTGTGTGAACTGAACTGTGTGAATTATAAATATCGATTGTATCGATGGCTCAATTACATTTTTTAGAAAGATTTAAGGAAACCCCCCCCCCCTGATATATCAAGGGTGTACATAGTAAAATAAATTATTCCAACTATTTATTTTCAATTATATAGCCGCAGCGATGTGCTCATACGCCAGCTGTTTATTTTAGTATTATTTGAGGGTTAGGTTAGGTTAAGACAATTTCTGGGCCAAGCGCTGCAGCTAGGACAGGCTAGGGGGCCGAGTGCCGCGGTTAGGAAAGGCTAGGGGACCGGGCGCTGCGGCCACAAGTTCATATAGCAGCTGTAGTATACGACTACGGGTTGCAGAGATAAAGAGAATAGAAAATTAGAGTTTGTGGCAAAAATTGAATTCCTTAAACCGATGTGGTTAAGCTTCCGGATCAGTTTTTTCATCTTCAGGCATTCAAACTAGAAAATATAGATTTACAGTAAACTGTCGTCTTTAAGGTTTTTCAAATTAATTTTACTACTTTTATTTATTGAAGCTTTTAAAAAAGATGTATAGTGAAGCAAAGGTAATGATATCTGGTAGTTTTCTCCTGATTTTTAGATTAAAGATTTCATACAGTATATTTTTTTCAGGTAGATACAGAAGGAAAAATCCCCGTTTGCCATATTTTGACCAACCACCCCCCCCCCCTCGTCCCCCGACAAAAAAATATTTGCGAGCCTGAATCTAGGTTTGAACCAAACGGAGACAAGACGTGTTATCAGAACTAGAGATAGACCCGGAGAAAGGAAACCAGGAGACTAGACGTGTATCCGAAATAGAGATAGACATGGAGGAATGAAAGATTAGACGTGTATCCGTACTAGAGATAGGCCTGGATCAAGGAAACCAGGAGACTAGACGTGTATCCGTACTAGAGATAGACCCGGAGCAGGGAAACCAGGAGACTAGACGTGTATCCAAACTAGAGATAGACCTGGAGAAAGGAAACCAGGAGACTAAATTTGTACTCGTAATAGAGATAGATCAGGAACAAAGAACCCATGCAAAGGAAACCAGAAGACTTGACATGTATTCGTACTTGAGATAGACCTGGAGCAAGGAAACCAGTAGACTAGACTTGTATCCGTAATAGAGATCGACCAGGATCAAGGAAACCAGGAGACTTGACATGTATTCGTACTTGAGATAGACCTGGAGCAAGGAAACCAGTAGACTAGACTTGTATTCGTACTAGAGATAGATCAGGAGCAAAGAACCCATAGAAATCATCTCATTCTTCACAAACAACAGTTAGCAGGCTTCTCGTCCTCTCCAGGAGAACACGCGAAGATTTAACCGAGGACAGAGGACATCTACACGTGATTAAAATTCAAATTCTCAAATAAAACAAATCTTGAAATGTCACGCGTCTTTGAATTTTAAGAAAAGTGCGTTGGAAAGAATTGATTACTCGCCTAAACCTCTGATATTATCATCCCTATACCTTTGCAACCTGATGGTGTAAACCTTCGAACTTGACTATATTTACTCTGGCAGAATGTTCAGCTTGAAACGTGAAAGTATATTAAGGATGTTAGTATTAGAAAATTAGAGTCTAAGGAGAATTAAAATTTACTCAGAGTAGTTTGAACAAAAGGGATTGTTCAAATATTTGGATTTATGGATTTTATTTCGTTCACCTGAAAAATCTTTTTTTCTTTTTGGGTTTCAAATTTCAAAGCAATATTGGATCCCTTATAAACTGTTAAATGTAAGTATTATGTACATCTATATATATAAAGTAGTAATCTCTGTTTGTTTGATTGTTTGTCTGTATGTCCGTTCATAACTCATGAACCCTTGAACCGATTTGTCTCAAATTTTAATTGTGGAATTCTGGAAAACCACGGGAATGTTCTTAAATTAGTTTTGAGAATCTAAGTTACGCAAAAAATAAAATCACACCCTGATCTCTAATAGTTTGCCTCAAATCTATCTAATTGAAATGTATAGAAATTTTGTGGAAAAAATAATCTAAACAGCCATGAGCTATTTTCCACCTATATTTGCTTTATACTTGTGCTGTTAAAATAATTATCAATTTCTAAATGTAAATTCGTTCTGTCACAGATACATGTATTTTAGCAAAAAATTATCTATCAATTCATTTATCCTGGGCAACCCTGGATTCACAATCTAGTATGTATTGTATATAGATTTTCGAAAATAAATTTAACTTCATCTTCAACTCTCAGTAAAGACGTCATTTTTGGATTAAACCAGCAGGTGAAGGTAAACCCAACCAAAAATCTCAATTATTCCGAATTCTTTCCACTTTTCAGGGAGGGGGGAGTCAGAGGCTACAATTACCCCCCCCCCCCCACCACCACCATAAAATAATGGAAAATGAACTCTTAAAACATCCACGCGCCATCAATCCTATAAATCTTACCTACGTAGAAGAAAAGTTAAATAGCACTCATCAGTTTTTTATGAATTTTTTATAATTAGATAGTATAAATAGATATGAATTGCCTCATTATCATAAACTTTAAGAAAACATAATTTACTCAAAACTGGAAAACTTTAGATACGATGTCAGAGTATGGAATTAACTAATGAATGAAAGTATGAATTATGAAATAAGTTGAAACTAAACATCTTGTTGATTATATGGATCGTTCAGTGTTTAGGGGTTTGGATAAATTTCAAATAGTTTACTTCTAAACTTCACTGCTGTCCCAACACATCTGGAATTGAGTCTTTGCCACAAACTCTAATTTAACAATCACTATATCTTTGCATCACAATATCATAGACCATAGATATTTTAAACGTATGATTTAGAGAGCAAATAATATAAGTATAAAATATCAAAGGTTTTACAATATCTAATTGCAAAGATATAGGGATTAAAAATTTGAGTTTGTGGCAAAGCCTCAATTCCTTTAACCCTCTTCAACCAAGAAAAAACAGATATTTAAAAAGTTTTATAAGTCTCAAAGGAATCCAAAAGAAGCTTTCCACAACACTGCAAACTCAGTTCAACTACCTTATTTAGCCGGTCACTCCCTTTAAATCCTCCTCTCAGAGACATTCCTCAAGAGTGAACAAAATGTGCATGGCTTTTGTTAATTACTCTTCTAAATCGAGACCAGAAACAAGCTTGTTGTAATTCTAAAATGTACATGTCTTGGGCTTCAAATTTCTATTTCAATTTTCTAGGGAGGAGGCGTCTCCCCAAATTTCCCCCTTCCCCCCCAAAAAAACCGCCTCTGTCTGTTAAACCCATTTTTTAACCATTAAATGTCAATTTTTTGGTATTTTCTCTCTAATTTAAATATATAAGCATAAAAGTATTTTAGGCTATTTTGCCTGATTTTGAATGTTAAATGAAAATACTCCGATAGAAACCGGATGAAGTCAGTTCTACGTCCGGTTGCTGGGACGAGAATCCTTATTAAAATCATTGATATAGTTCTAAAATATGGAACATTCCCTTAAGATCTATTAATATCATCTAGAAGAATTTATCCACGTGGGAGCGTTTAAGCATTTATGAAGTTGAATGAGAAATTACCAGTAATTAGTTCTCTGGATGAAAAGATCTCCGATGAGGGTTGAAGGTTGTCAGGTATCCTGCTGGGACGGATACGGGTATATCAAGGTACCATCATTAGCTGCGGATTCATTCAGACTACAGTTCTCAAAGGACTTCATTGCTCTGCTTAACCATGGTAAACTCAACAGTTTTTTTTCGTGGATTTATAAATGTTCAAATAAATTGCATGTTCGTTCACTGTTCGACTGACTTGTTTTTTAAACCTTTAAGATACAATGCAGTTTTAGTTTTAATTGCATTTTAATTGTAAGGAAAATATGTGGCAAATGATGTTTTTTTATTTTGTTTTATTCCATGTTTTAATGTTGTATTATTGTTTTTATATTTAGGACAACGAACGGGAAATGTTATCTATTATTTTGTTACTATTAGCCCTTGTTAATATTTCAAATGGGTTTCTGGTTTGGGATAATTCAGCTCAAAGGTATTTTTTGTTCGAAAACTAATAAAAGAAAAATGATGAGATTTAAAAAAACGTTTTTTTCTAAAGCAAAAGAAACAGTGGAATGCCTGAAGTGTGCAGGGGTAGATATGATGCCGCAATATTTACCCAGTTAGAAAATATCTGTGAAGATTGTTATAATCTTTATAAAGAACCAGATGTTCATCAGCTGTGCAGGTAAAGGGTGTCTCTAAAAGTTATAAGCCTCGACGATTTTCGTTTTTTAGAAATTATACATATCTTCCAAAAATTCCTATCTAAGTGGACAAACAAAAGTCTTGAATCATGTTTAGAACCAAGGAATTGAGTTTTTGACGCAAACTCAAATTTTCGAATCCTTATATCTGTGCAACCGAATGGATTAAACCTTCAAAATTTCAAACTTAGAATATCTACTAACAGAATTCATAGTTTGAAATATCTAAGGTTTACGAGATTGGATTGTAAAGATATTAGGATTAGAAAATCAGAGTTTGTGGCAAAAACTCAATTCCTTTATTTTACACTTTTGTAGTTTAGGAAATACTTGAATGCTTTTTACTTGTTTTCCAATTAATATATTTCTAGGCATCAGTTTTGAAACATTAAAGGGACCGTTTTGAAACATTAAGAATATCTTCCAAAATTCAAATCATTTTATCATGTTCACACAAAATAATATAATATAGACAATTCTCAAAAACAAAAAAGTTTTGTTTGAACCATTAGATAAGAGATATTTAACTGATAGTTGTAACGACCAACAAATGAAAATCGTTGAAATGTGGCATTTATTACTCTAAATAAATGAACTGCATCAGAGGATTTCACAAACTTTTAATTGCAATAATGAATTACAAGCTGAAGTGCCCGGCGCTTCGTGTGAAAAAAATTTTGAAGAAGAAAACAAATTTATTTTGAAAGAAAAAAAATATCTTTTTAGTCTATATTTCCAGGGTACTCATGGGTTCCCTCAAAAAATTTCAGTCAGATTGATCCAACCGTTTGGGCAGCTATAGCTAACTTATAATAATATACATATTATATATATATATGAGCGAAGAGCTTTATTATATAGATGAAAGTTTAAAAATCCAGGTCTGAATGCTTTGGTTCCAGTTTCTTCAAGCAGTGCCTGGAGGCCCTGCTCATGGTTGAAGATGAATATGTAAACATGGCGGAAATTATTGGAAAATAGAACTTTTAGCTTTAATTATCATGGCAGGGTATAGATAATTAGTAATTGTGTGATATCGTTTTAGAAACTTTCAATGCAAATAGTTACAAGTGAACATTATGCAAACTGCAGCCTGTTCAATGCTTATTGTTATAGTTAGTATGGACCAAACTTCAAAATGTACAAAATATTAAATTTAAAGAGTTACAGTATATTTTTAAGCCAGAGAATAAAATTAATGTTCGTTCGGGATTTTCTTACTTTTAAAGTAAAATTTTTGTTTTTTAAATTGATGCTAATGGAGCCTCTTTCGTTCGTCCATTTGAAGAGTTTATGCATTTTTAACTAAACCTTTTAATTTTCTGTGCTAAAAGTAACAACTATTATGCAAAATTATTCATTCCATTCCATTGATAACAGTAAACCTAATTTAAAGAGACCCTTAATGTCCGATTAACAATGGTAACCATTAAACCTTTGGCTGATCAAGGATTAACAACGGTATCCTTTAAACCTTTGTCTGATCAAGGATTCACAACGGTAACCATTAAACCTTTGTCTGATCAAGGATTCACAACGGTAACCTTTAAACTTAGCTTTTAAGCAAGGATCACATATATATTCTTATTTATAAATGAACAAGTATTGCGCGCGGGAAAAACGCGAGTGTACACTAGCATAGAGTCTAAATTGTAACCTCAGGTCTGCGCTTAATCTTTAGAATAGAAAAAAGGCTTTAAGTTTGCCGTTGTGGATCGGACATGCAGCCACACTTTGATTGAAAATTCACTTTAAATTACGTCTGTAGTCCCTTTAATGCTTCCTATTAGTGACACACAAAATTGTGATTATAAATCCCTCTTATACTTTCCACTCTGTTCCTTAAAAAACGCTTAGGCAAACATTCTTTTAAATATATGCAATGGACCTCTGTTCCCTTTTAATTTATACTTTATTCTTTTCCAGATTTGTTTTGATCTAAAATCAATCTCGTTACTGACCAGAAGTTGTAATCGATCCATGCTCCCATACGGGTCAATTACAACTACTCAGACCGTTCTTTTAATCTATTAATGTATGAACCATCCGTTCCATTGTTTTTCATTATATATAAACCAGTTCTTTTTACTGTTACTTGTTAGACAATAATAATGTTTCATCTTTAATAAAGGCAGTATTGATTTTTAAAAAAGTTTAGAGATTTTAATAGTAAAATAATTAGATCTTTTTTAAACCCACATTTGATTTGGACTAGCTACTTCATTTTGTTAAAAAAACCTTTTTTAACTAGAATTAAAAGCTTCCGTTTTGAAGTAGCTTCTTCATTTTACAAAAAAAAATAGCTTATTTGCGAATAACTTTTTGCAATGGAACTGATTACACTTCTTATACTTTAGTTTGCTATCGTAGATCGTTGATATCGTAGATCGTTGATATCGTAGATCTTAATATCGTAGATCTTTGATATCGTAGATCTTTGATATCGTAGATCGTTGATATCGTAGATCGTTGATATCGTAGATTGTTGATATCGTAGATTGTTGATATCAGATCGTTGTTGATATCGTAGATTGTTGATATCATAGATCGTTGATATCGTAGATCGTTGATATCGTAGATCGTTGATATCGTAGATTGTTGATATCGTAGATTGTTGATATCGTAGATCGTTGATATTGTAGATCGTTGATATTGTAGATCGTTGATATCGTAGATCGTTGATATCGTAGATCTTTGATATCATAGATCTTTGATATTGTAGATCTTTGAAATCGTAGATCTTTGATATCGTAGATCTTTGATATCATAGATCGTTGATATCGTAGATCTTTGATATCGTAGATCGTTGATATTGTAGATCGTTAATATCGTAGATCGTTGATATCATGGATCGTTGATCTCGTAGATTGTTGATATTGTAGATCGTTGATATCGTAGATCGTTGATATCGTAGATCGTTGATATCGTAGATCGTTGATATAGTAGATCTTTGATATTGTAGATCGTTGATATCGTAGATCTTGATATCGTAGATGGTTGATATTGTAGATCGATGATATCGTAGATCGTTGATATCGTAGATCGTTGATATATCCATATTAGAAGAGAGGAATAAGAGGAGAGTCAAGGGAGCTTTAAAATCTGCTTTTAAACTATTTTCAATATTTGCATTTGCATGCTAAATGTTGTGTGTATTTGTATATGCATCTTATATGTAAAGCAGAATGATATATTTATGTCTACCAGTATGTAGTCCTAAATGGATGAAATCATTTCTACCAGTATGTAGTCCTAAATGGATGAAATTATGTCAACCAGTATGTAGTGCTAAATGGATGAAATCATGTCTACCAGTATTTAGTCCTAAATGGATAAAATCATGTCTACCAGTATGTAGTCCTAAATGGATGAAATCATGTCTACCAGTATTTGGTCCTAAATGGATGAAATTATGTCTACCAGTATGTAGTCCTAAATGGATGAAATTATGTCTACCAGTATGTAGTCCTAAATGGATGAAATTATGTCTACCAGTATGTAGTTCTAAATGGATGAAATTATGTCTACCAGTATGTATTCCTAAATGGATGAAATTATGTCAACCAGTATGTAGTCCTAAATGGATGAAATCATGGCTACCAGTATTTAGTCCTAAATGGATGAAATTATGTGTACCAGTATTTAGTCTTAAATGGATGAAATTATGTCTACCAGTATGTAGTCCTAAATGGATGAAATCATGTGTACCAGTATGTAGTCCTAAATGGATGAAATTATGTCTACCAGTATGTAGTTCTAAATGGATGAAATTATGTCTACCAGTATGTAGTTCTAAATGGATGAAATTATGTCTACCAGTATAAAGTCCTAAATGAATGAAATTATGTCTACCAGTATGTAGTTCTAAATGGATGAAATTATGTCTACCAGTATAAAGTTCTAAATGGATGAAATCATGTCTACCAGTATGTAGTCCTAAATGGATGTAATCATGTCTACCAGTATGTGTCCTAAATGGATGAAATCATGTCTACCAGTATGTGTCCTAAATGAATGAAATCATGTCTACCAGTATGTGTCTTAAATGGATGTAATCATGTCTACCAGTATGTAGTCCTAAATGGATGTAATCATGTCTACCAGTATTTGTCCTAAATGGATGAAATCATGTCTACCAGTATGTAGTTCTAAATGGATGAAATCATGTCTACCAGTATGTGTCCTAAATGGATGAAATTATGTCTACCAGTATGTAGTCCTAAATGGATGTAATTATGTCTACCAGTATAAAGTCCTAAATGAATGAAATTATGTCTACCAGTATGTAGTTCTAAATCGATGAAATCATGTCTACCAGTATGTGTCCTAAATGAATGAAATCATGTCTACCAGTATGTGTCTTAAATGGATGAAATCATGTGTACCAGTATGTAGTCCTAAATGGATGTAATCATGTCTACCAGTATGTGTCCTAAATGGATGAAATCATGTCTACCAGTATGTAGTCCTAAATGGATGAAATCATGTGTACCAGTATGTAGTCCTAAATGGATGTAATCATGTCTACCAGTATGTGTCCTAAATGGATGAAATCATGTCTACCAGTATGTAGTCCTAAATGGATGTAATCATGTCTACCAGTATGTAGTCCTAAATGGATGAAATTATGTTACACCTGGTAACTTGCCTCCCTGGTTGAAAAGGAGTAGGCTGTATATCCCTTCTTGGGACGTGAGGGATAGAGTTGGACAATTGTAGATAAGGATAGAAAGGGTCAGGCAACAATTCTAAATTGTCTTCTAACCTTTTCCGACCTTTTAGCAAATATGGATCAGTTTACCGTAACTATATTTCTAAGAACTATATTGTATATCTCGGAGAAATCTATGATTAGGATTATCAAATATTGAATATTCTCCAAGAAACCTATGCAATGCATCCTAATGTAAATAAATATTACTGCATGCATTTAATAAATGTAAATTGGACAAGTAGATGTATTGTAAGAATTATCCTTTGGTTTGAGATATATCTGATTTAAGGTAAGAAATATTTAATGCATATTTAAGCCCTGTAAAGAAAATGAGTCTTTGTCAAACTTTCTATTCCCTATATCTTTGCAACCTAAAGATGTAAACCTTAAATATGTCAAACTTAGACAATTTAATCTAACAGAATTTATAGTTTGAATATATTGGGTTGCAATGGTATAGAGATTCGAAAATTAGAGTTTGTGGTAAAGACCCAATTCCTTTGCAAGGTTTAGAAGCAAATCTTTTAAAGATATATTCCCCTCTGTAATATAAAAAAAAGTGGAATTTCGCAAATTCAATTTTAAGGTTCAATATCAGGAACCCTACTCCGTCCTTAATCAGGTATGGTTCAGGGTTCAATATCATGAACCCAACTATATCCTCGATCAGGTATGTTCAAGGTTCAATATCAGGAACCCTACTTCGTTCTTAATCAGGTAGGTTCAAGGTTCAATATCAGGACCCAACTTCGTCCTTAATCAGGTAGGTTCAAGGTTCAATATCAGGACCCCTACTCCGTCTCTAATCAAGAAGGTTCAGGGGGCAAAATCAAGAACCTTACTCTATCCTCGATCAGGTATGTTCAGGGTTCAATATCAGGAACCCTACTCCGTCCTTAATCAGGTATGGTTCAGGGTTCAATATCCTCGATCGGGTAGGTTCAGGGTTCAATATCAGGAACCCTACTTCCTCCCTCATCAATCAGGATCATGGTTTGATATTAGAAATCTTCAATATATCTCTATTTAATAGTTCTGGAACTGATTTCTTCACTCTGGATGATACTGATACAAAACAGTTCGCCAACCTGGGATGTTTTGGATTATATGATAAGTATGGTTCTTTATACCTTTTATGTAAATATAAACTTTGCTTGTCTGTCGGTTTGTATCCAATAAAAAACGGCCGCGAACTGATCGAGGCCAAAATTTGTGATGCAAATCACATGACCCCAGGGAAGTTGTATGGCTCGTCGAAGATGACGAATTTTGGCCGAAAACATGTCGAAATTTATTATTTTTGAAAATGCACTAATTTAAACAAAAAATTCCGCGAAAATTTAAGGCGTAAATTAAAAGTGTCCACATTGGATATTCAGATTAAGCGATCAGGATCAAATTATAAAGTTTTCCGCTCCGATAAATGCTATTCTAGGAGTAGTTTCCTGAAGAAGACCCTGATATGTCATGATTGCTACAGCTTGTTCCGAGATCCTGAAGTATTCAACGCATGCAGGAAAAATTGTTTCTACAATAATGCATTCCAGGTTCATTTTTCATTTATCACAATATTTTGTTTATTTTTCATTTTTACCATTAAATGTTCATTTTCCCTTTGTTACAATGCCGTATTCCAGGTTCATTTTCCATTTTCCTTCATTACAATGTCGTATTACAGGTTCATTTTCACTTTATTACAGTTTCGTATTCCAGGTTCATTTTCCCTTTATTACAGTTTCGTATTCCAGGTTCATTTTCCCTTTATTACAATGTCGTATTCCAGGTTCATTTTCCCTTTATTACAATGTCGTATTCCAGNTGTAAAATGAATCTAGCTATTGCCCATCTCTAGTTGAGGGACGACTTTGATGACCTATTTTAAATAAGAAATTTCACTTTATAAAGAGTGAGTCGCTAGAAATTCCATCCTTTTAAAATCTTTTTTTTTTCTCTATCAGCAAAACAAACATAATGTAAAAAAAATGTAATATCATGAAAACACTAACAGTTCAAATTAAAAACTTCAATTCCACCTTGACATGATTCAACGCTAGTAGTTATTTACCAACAACCCAACTTTTACAATAAACTGTTAATTATAAAACGTCAGATAATAAGTTTTGGAACTGTTTTTTAAAGGAGATGGTGGGATGCCCTATTAGATGAGGAGGGTGGGGGGTTCAAATCTTCCAATTTTTTGGCTGCACGCCTAAATTTAGTTCGAATTTCCTTAAATCTATATATAAATTTAGCTTGTCTGTCTGTTTGTTTGTTTCTTTGTATCCAACAAACGTCAAAATGGCCAAACCGATCGGGCTCAAATTTTCTGTGGGACCTCACGTCACCCCAGGGAAGGTTTATGAATGATCAAAAGCTTTTTATTTTTGTAAAATTTTGAAAATGTGCGAAAAAATATTATG